GTCTCTTTTGTACTCTGAGTAACATTTGGCTAGTAAGATCCTGATATATAGTGTATTAACTATTGTTATTCTCTAATTATTTTGTTATGAAATTTTGTTTTGTTTCTTCATGGAAGTAAGAAGAGTGCTTTTTATATTTTGTTAATCTCTACTTGTATTAGTTAAAAAATTTTAAAAAGGAAAACTTGCTTTTCAAAACAGCTAAGAGAATGAAGTCTTCTCCAACAGGACAGTTGCTACGCTGGGTTTCAGGTGACAGGATCACCCTTAGTGACACTGAAAACTTATCTCAGGTAGAAGGGTGCATGGGGGATACTTGGAGACTCTCAGACTTGCATTGATGGAGACCACTATGAAGCAGACCTGAACAGGACTTAAATTAATCAATTGGTTTTTCATATTCACTTGTGCATCTGTCCAAGGCCTAGGCTCCTTATCTGGAAATGGCGGACTCATAGTAAGTGAACTTCTGTGAGTCACTAATCCCGACTAAAACCTGTAGTGGTGGATGAAGCCAGAAAGCCTCAAAGGTTAAAACAAGATCACAGACAAGGACAGCTGGATCAGATCTCAACCGGATAAAGACTGTAGCCTCAGGCCTCTCACTCCTGGGTGAATTAACTTAACACCTTACTTAGAGAAGTCCTTGAGTGGTTCTGCCCTTCTTGAGTACTCCTCTCCCTTCTTCTGATAACCAAATAAATACAGGTGACCCAGAGAAGGTCTTGGTCTTAGCCCTGAGAGAATCTTGAGAGGGCTTTGATCCTCCTGGAGCCCTGAAATCATTCCATTTATCTCTTCATTTAGCCTTTGCCTCTCATTCAGGTGATTGTGGACTTGCTCAGTCTGCCATGACTAAGGGATATTATTAACCTGATACTGCATAGTTACATTCTTACCGTACAACGTCACACACAGCCAGAGATCTCTGCAAAATGATTTACAGAGATCTGGCCCCCCCAGGGGCCAGTCCTGGGGCAGAGAGGTCTACCCAGACCCAGGTGGACAGGCTGAAGGTGCTCTGGAAACGCAGGGACCAGGGCACCATGTCCAGGAGAGGATGACACTGAGCAGCAGGCCCGGACTCGCGTCGGTGGAGGGCAGCAGGGACTCTGTCATCCGCGAGCATGCGAAGGACGGAAGGGTCAGCGGCCTGGCTGGCGGCTTGGGAGCCAGAGGCGCCCCGGAGCTGCACGGGAGGCGCACACAGCCGTCACGCCTAGGTGCCTAGGTGCTCCAGAGGACAGTGCGGTGAGGACGGAGGCGGCCGGGAAGAGCAGGTAGAGGCGGAAGAGCAGGGTGTCCGGCAGGAGGCTGCGCGGCACCCACAGCTCCACCGCCTCCGGCTCCCACCGGGCGCCCGCTGGCTGGGCGCACCCACTCGGCTCTGTCTGTTGGGGGCCTGGCGCCTTCGCCGCCGAGTCTCCCCGCCCGGCGAGGCCTGCGGAGGGGACAGAGGCTCAGCGCGGGCTGCAGGAGGAGGCGGCTTAGCGCGGGCGCAGCAGGC